GCCTTCTCTTTTTTTTAAAAATGGTGGGGGGGGGGGGGGGGGAACGGTGTAACTAGCTATTAAATTCTAAAAGTTGCCAGCAAGCGCACAGATAGATAAAGAAATTAAGAGCACCCCTTAAAAACACTACCCCAAACGAACCATGAGATAAAGGTAGCCCCAACACAAAGGGATTACCTCGCAAGAGCAACTTGGACAGAAAAGCCCGTTCTGCTAGATCAGTTTCCCATGTTAAATAACTTCGAGAAGTTATTAACAGCTCTGAACATGAAAAGTATTAATTTAACTGATGTAAAAAACTTTATTTTTTGATAGGTTTCTCTTTTTTACTATCCCAAAGAGGAATACTTCTGTACTGTTAGGAACTGGAGAAAAAAAGATATATACAAATATATATTCCAACTCCCCCTACCCTGTATTACCTTCTGACTAGTTTTTTCAGTCACTAGTTTTACTCATTGACCCAAACCGATACTGGAAACTAACCCTTCTGTTTTCCAGATTAAGAAAAATGAGGAAGCTTTATCCGGAAACATGGAAGTTGTTTCTCCCACCCCGCTAATTTAAATTAACAACCAACGCTAATTTCAAGGATTAAGCAACACACACTGGAATTTTCCCTCTTCTGTACTCACCTGTCCCTCAGCCGGTGATAGAGCAGAAGCAGAGCGGAGATGGCAATTTATAGGACACTGCCTCTTTTGAAAGCCAATCAAAACCTGACAGAGTAGGAGTTGTCCCACACCTAAAAAAAAAAAAAAAAAAAGCGTGCGCGTGAGAGCAGCAGCAGCCAGGGATATCACTTCGTTCACAGTCGCTTGATTTTGAAACGCCTGTAACTTGGTGATAGGCAGAGGACTCTCAAGCTATGCAACCAGCTCCTTTAGCTAACCGGATCGTACGACCTAGGGTCATCTCCGAAGGACAGGTTTTTAACTAATTGGTTGCAGCGCAAAGGATTAGTGTAAAGCAAACACATGTTCAAATGTAAAGCAATAATCTCCCTCGGATAGCAGGAAATTTCTGAGTTTTGTAAGAAGATTAAAGCACGGGGAGAGGGAAAAAGAGGGGGAAAAAAGAAACAGGTTCATAAAATGACATTTAGCAAGTTAACGGCCAGCTGCTGGTCCTTTGTGAGATTTCCAAAGTGTTATATAAGCAGCAAGCACCTGTTGCTCATATAGAAGACAAAAACATGTTTATAGAAGCTAGTAGTTTCTTATGTATTAGTTATTAATAGAACACTATGGTGATAAGAAAGATAAGAAACTCATGGGTTTCGTCTGGAAAATCCCACAACAGTAAGCTTCAAAGAAAATGGGAAAGAGGGAGGAGAGAAGAGGTCAGAACCAAACCCCAAATCTCCCACAGCATTTCTGGGGGCACACTGCTGCCGAGATGTCACGGGATGCTCCTCCACAGAGCTAACCAAAGAAGGCCAAAACTTGCTTCTTTCAAAGGAAGTTTAGATACTCTCTAGGGCACAGGATCTCGCAGATGCCCAACCACTAGTGCTTTCAAAACGGCCAACATCCTACGGTCCACACCAACGCACTAAACTCCAAGTTATCGTTCTCAACTCACGCTTATCTCCAAAACACAGAGTTTCTGCTTCAGACCTGAGGAAGGGCTTAAACATTGGAAAGCTCCTCTACTTTTTCGAACTGTATCAAGAAGAGCTCGAGTGGAAAGATACTGCCCGCCTTGGGCATCCAGAAGACGAAGCACCTGCCACCTTGCCTGTCCTACGGGAAAGCCTTACTGCCCGGTGCCCAAGTGCTGCCAACTGGAAAGTCCATCGGATCACCGCACTTGGGAGCGCTCAAGCTGCATCAACTAGGGGATACTCTCAGCTCAACCAACACTTAACGCAGCCTGGATAGACAGAAAGACCAAAGCCATCACACGTCCCCTGTTGGCATGTCCTCTGGTTCAGAGAGCCCCGAACTGGGGGGTAAGGGGATCCTGAGTCCTTCCCTGCGTCCCCTGGCATGGTGGATGTGCCAGGGCGGAGCAGAGGGGTGGCCGGGCTTGTGCTCTTCCCTCTGGCAGGCAGCTGTTGGCTAACCTCAGTTAAAATAACCTTGACACACACGCACAAGCTCCGCGGCTCGGTTTTCAGAGGTGACGCACGACCACGGGATGACGCCGTACCACTCACAAAGCTCGCCAAGAAATGACGTCAGCCTGAAACGCCAAGGGACAGACTAGAAACCTGACCTCAGCAACCAACTAGAAAAACCCCAAAAGTCAGATTATACCAGC